TTTTCATTGTTTAGGCTCTATCTCTTCTAGTTTCCAAAATAAATGGACTTTTATGTTTTCACTCAAATAATCCATTTTTACTGGAAAATAAAAGTGATCACATATTTTCATTGTTTAAGCTCTATCTCTTCTAGTTTCCAAGATAAATGGACTTTTATGTTTTCATTAAAAAAATCAATTTTTACTGGGAAATAAAAGTGATCACAGATTTTCATTGTTTAGGCTCTATCTCTTCTAGTTTCCAAGAAAAATGGACTTTTATGTTTTCACTCAAAAACTCGATTTTTATTAGGAAATAAAGTTGATCACAGATTTTCATTGTTTAGGCTCTATCTCTATATAAATGGAGTTTTATGTTTTCACTCAAAAAATCGATTTTTAATAGGAAATAAAAGTGATCACAGATTTTCATTGTTTAGGCTCTATCTCTTCTAGTTTCCAAGATAAATGGACTTTAATGTTTTCACGCAAAAAACCAATTTTCACTAGGAAATAAAAGTGATCACAGATTTTCATTGTTTAGGCTCTATCTCTTCTAGTTTCCAAGATAAATGGACTTTTATGTTTTCACTCAAAAAATCGATTTTTACTTGGAAATACAAGAGATCACAGATTTTCATTGTTTGGGCTCTATCTCTTCTAGTTTCCAAGATAAATGGACTTTTATGTTTTCACTCAAAAAAACGATTTTTAATAGGAAATAAAAGTGATCACAGATTTTCATTGTTTAGGCTCTATCTCTTCTAGTTTCCAAGATAAATGGACTTTTATGTTTTCACGCAAAAAACCAATTTTCACTAGGAAATAAAAGTGATCACAGATTTTCATTGTTTAGGCTCTATCTCTTCTAGTTTCCAAGATAAATGGACTTTTATGTTTTCACGCAAAAAACCAATTTTCACTAGGAAATAAAAGTGATCACAGATTTTCATTGTTTAGGCTCTATCTCTTCTAGTTTCCAAGATAAATGAACTTTTATGTTTTCACTCAAAAAAACAATTTTCACTAGGAAATAAAAGTAATCACAGATTTTCATTGTTTAGGCTTTTAGTTTCCAAGATAAATGGACTTTTATGTTTTCACTCAAAAAATCGATTTTTAATAGGAAATAAAAGTGATCACAGATTTTCATTGTTTAGGCTCTATCTCTTCTAGTTTCCAAGATAAATGGACTTTTATGTTTTCACGCAAAAAACCAATTTTCACTAGGAAATAAAAGTGATCACAGATTTTCATTGTTTAGGCTCTATCTCTTCTAGTTTCCAAGATAAATGGACTTTTATGTTTTTACTCAAAAAATCGATTTTTACTTGGAAATACAAGAGATCACAGATTTTCATTGTTTGGGCTCTATCTCTTCTAGTTTCCAAGATAAATGGACTTTTATGTTTTCACTCAAAAAATCGATTTTTACTTGAAAATAAAAGTGATCACAGATTTTCATTGTTTAGGCTCTATCTCTTCTAGTTTCCAAGATAAATGAACTTTTATGTTTTCACTCAAAAAAACAATTTTCACTAGGAAATAAAAGTAATCACAGATTTTCATTGTTTAGGCTTTTAGTTTCCAAGATAAATGGACTTTTATGTTTTCACTCAAAAAATCGATTTTTAATAGGAAATAAAAGTGATCACAGATTTTCATTGTTTAGGCTCTATCTCTTCTAGTTTCCAAGATAAATGGACTTTTATGTTTTCACGCAAAAAACCAATTTTCACTAGGAAATAAAAGTGATCACAGATTTTCATTGTTTAGGCTCTATCTCTTCTAGTTTCCAAGATAAATGGACTTTTATGTTTTCACTCAAAAAATCGATTTTTACTTGAAAATAAAAGTGATCACAGATTTTCATTGCTTAGGCTCTATCTCTTCTAGTTTGCAGGATAAATGGACTTTTATGTTTTCACTCAAAAACTCGATTTTTACTAGGAAATAAAAGTGATCACAGATTTTCATTGTTTAGGCTCTATCTCTTCTAGTTTCCAAAATAAATGGACTTTTATGTTTTTACTCAAATAATCCATTTTTACTCGAAAATAAAAGTGATCACAGATTTTCATTGTTTGGGCTCTATCTCTTCTAGTTTCCAAGATAAATGGACTTTTATGTTTTCACTCAAAAAATCGATTTTTGGTGGAAAATAAAACTGTTTGGGCTCTATCTCTTCTAGTTTCCAAGATAAATGGACTTTTATATTTTCACTCAAAAAAACGATTTTTAATAAGAAATAAAAGTGATCACAGATTTCCATTGTTTAGGCTCTATCTCTTCTAGTTTCCAAGATAAATGGACTTTTATGTTTTCACGCAAAAAACCAATTTTCACTAGGAAATAAAAGTGATCACAGATTTTCATTGTTTAGGCTCTATCTCTTCTAGTTTCCAAAATAAATGGACTTTTATGTTTTTACTCAAATAATCCATTTTTACTCGAAAATAAAAGTGATCATAGATTTTCATTGTTTGGGCTCTATCTCTTCTAGTTTCCAAGATAAATGGACTTTTATGTTTTCACTCAAAAAATCGATTTTTGGTGGAAAATAAAACTGTTTGGGCTCTATCTCTTCTAGTTTCCAAGATAAATGGACTTTTATGTTTTCACTCAAAAAAACGATTTTTAATAAGAAATAAAAGTGATCACAGATTTCCATTGTTTAGGCTCTATCTCTTCTAGTTTCCAAGATAAATGGACTTTTATGTTTTCACGCAAAAAACCAATTTTCACTAGGAAATAAAAGTGATCACAGATTTTCATTGTTTAGGCTCTATCTCTTCTAGTTTCCAAGATAAATGGACTTTTATGTTTTTACTCAAAAAATCGATTTTTACTTGGAAATACAAGAGATCACAGATTTTCATTGTTTGGGCTCTATCTCTTCTAGTTTCCAAGATAAATGGACTTTTATGTTTTCACTCAAAAAAACGATTTTTAATAGGAAATAAAAGTGATCACAGATTTTCATTGTTTAGGCTCTATCTCTTCTAGTTTCCAAGATAAATGGACTTTTATGTTTTCACGCAAAAAACCAATTTTCACTAGGAAATAAAAGTGATCACAGATTTTCATTGTTTAGGCTCTATCTCTTCTAGTTTCCAAGATAAATGGACTTTTATGTTTTCACTCAAAAAATCGATTTTTACTTGAAAAGAAAAGTGATCACAGATTTTCATTGCTTAGGCTCTATCTCTTCTAGTTTGCAGGATAAATGGACTTTTATGTTTTCACTCAAAAACTCGATTTTCACTAGGAAATAAAAGTGATCACAGATTTTCATTGTTTAGGCTCTATCTCTTCTAGTTTCCAAAATAAATGGACTTTTATGTTTTTACTCAAATAATCCATTTTTACTCGAAAATAAAAGTGATCACAGATTTTCATTGTTTGGGCTCTATCTCTCCTAGTTTCCAAGATAAATGGACTTTTATGTTTTCACTCAAAAAATCGATTTTTGGTGGAAAATAAAACTGTTTGGGCTCTATCTGTTCTAGTTTCCAAGATAAATGGACTTTTATGTTTTCACTCAAAAAAACGATTTTTAATAAGAAATAAAAGTGATCACAGATTTCCATTGTTTAGGCTCTATCTCTTCTAGTTTCCAAGATAAATGGACTTTTATGTTTTCACGCAAAATACCAATTTTCACTAGGAAATAAAAGTGATCACAGATTTTCATTGTTTAGGCTCTATCTCTTCTAGTTTCCAAGATAAATGGACTTTTATGTTTTCACTCAAAAAATCGATTTTTACTTGAAAATAAAAGTGATCACAGATTTTCATTGTTTAGGCTCTATCTCTTCTAGTTTCCAAGATAAATGGACTTTTATGTTTTCACTCAAAAAATCGATTTTTACTCGAAAATAAAAGTGATCACAGATTTTCATTGTTTAGGCTCTATCTCTTCTAGTTTCCAAAATAAATGGACTTTTATGTTTTCACTCAAAAAATCGATTTTTGGTGGAAAATAAAACTGATCACAGATTTTCATTGTTTAGGCTCTATCTCTTCTGGTTTCCAAGATAAATGAACTTTTATGTTTTCAATCAAAAACTCGATTTTTTCCAAAAAAAATAAAAGTGATCACAGATTTTCATTGTTTAGGCTCTATCTTTTCTAGTTTCCAAGATAAATAGACTTTTATGTTTTCACTCAAAAAATCGATTTTTACTTTAAAATAAAAGTGATCACAGATTTTCATTGTTTAGGCTCTATCTCTTCTAGTTTCCAAGATAAATGGACTTTTATGTTTTCACTCAAAAAATCGATTTTTACTCGAAAATAAAAGTGATCACAGATTTTCATTGTTTAGGCTCTATCTCTTCTAGTTTCCAAGATAAATGGACTTTTATGTTTTCACTCAAAAAATCGATTTTTGGTGGAAAATAAAACTGATCACAGATTTTCATTGTTTAGGCTCTATCTCTTCTGGTTTCCAAGATAAATGAACTTTTATGTTTTCAATCAAAAACTCGATTTTTTCCAAAAAAAATAAAAGTGATCACAGATTTTCATTGTTTATGCTCTATCTCTTCTAGTTTCCAAGATAAATGGACTTTTATGTTTTCTCTCAAAAAATCGATTTTTACTCGAAAATAAAAGTGATCACAGATTTTCTTTGTTTAGGATCTATCTCTTCTAGTTTCCAAGATAAATGGACTTTTACGTTTTCACTCAAAAAAATTGATTTTTACTAGAAAATAGAAGTGATCACAGATTTTCATTGTTTAGGCTCTATCTCTTCTAGTTTCCGACTTTTATGTTTTCACTCCAAAAATGTGTAGTCAGGACAGACTATAGACCTGACTATGGACTAGACTATAGGCTGGACTAGTCTATAGTACTACATATATAGTCTGATCTATGGTTTGTAGTATGGACTATTGTCTGGTCTATATAGCGTAGTCTAATTTTGTGTTATATTTACAATAATTTAACATGCAACGGTATTTTCTCAAATTTATTATATGTAGATGTGTGTGTATTATCATATATTATCAGTTTGTTTATAAAACTGCATTATAAACATTTGATAGAATACCCCTAACCCAGGGCAATAACTCCGTGACTCTAGCATAAATACCGGGTTTATTGGGTTCAGCACAACCTATACCCCATGATACAATGCCAACCTGTTTTCCATTGATGACCATAGGTCCACCTGAATCATATTTACAAGTATCTATACCGCCATATTTGTAGCCAGCACATATCATGCGCCTAGTAATACGTCCCGAACCAATCTGACGGCTGCATGTACATTGTTTAACTATTGGCACATGGGCCACCATTAGAGTATCGGAGATTGTGGGATTATTCAAATCGGTAAAACCCCAACCTATGACTGTAGCAATTGTACCATCCCTTATGCGTGCTTTAGGTCCAACTAATTTTATGGGTTGCACTTGTGGTCCTAATTTAAAGCTACCCAAAATTTTTATCAAGCCAACATCATAGTCATAGTTATCACTGGTCCAATTTTTATTGAAATAAATAGCCTCAACATTGTAAACATCACCCTGTTTTACCGCCAGCGATTTATCACCCACATGCACTCTTAGGTTGTCTGGAGATAAGTTATGTATACAATGAGCTGCAGTTAGAATGGTATGTTCGTTGATTATGGAACCGCCACATATATGAAATAGAATAGTTATCGTTGGCATATAAGAGAGAGGCTATGAAGGGATATGTTTCCACAGCTACCCGACCACCAATAACTCTTGGTTGCACTTGCTTACCATTCAGTTCTTCAGCCTTAATAAATGTCACCAAATAACAGCCGACAATTAGACAAGCGTATTTCAGAGAAGACGCGTACATATTCTCTCAACTAGTTATTAGTTGAAGTTATATTTCAAACTTAAACATAAATGAGTTGTGGACTCTTAAACAGTATTTAAATATGCATTACTGTAAACTATGATTTATTGATATTTAATTGTTTATAGATAAAAGAAAAATTAATTTTTTGCGATATTAAAACGATGAAAAGAAAGTTTTAGTTTAGACGTCATTCTATATATTAATTGCTAATTATCGGGTTTTGGCCTATCTCGTTTTCTGATGGGAAATAAAACAGTTTCAGTACAATCTAGTCTATAGTCTGGACTATAATCCAGTCTAGTGTCCAGTATATAGTCTATTCTATAGTCTGGACTATAGTCTAGTCTATAGTCTGGACTGTAGTCTAGTCTATAGTCTGGACTCTAGTATATAGTCTAGTCTAAAGTCTAGTTTATAGTCTAGTCTTTAGTCTGGACTATAGTCTGGACTATAGTCTAGTCTATAGTCTGGACTATAGTCTAGTCTATAGTCTGGACTATAGTCTAGTCTATAGTCTGGACTATAGTCTAGTCTATAGTCTGGACTATAGTCTAGTCTATAGTCTGGACTATAGTCTAGTCTATAGTCTGGACTATAGTCTAGTCTATAGTCTAGTCTATAGTCTAGTCTATAGTCTAGTCTATAGTCTAGTCTATAGTCTAGTCTATAGTCTAGTCTATAGTCTAGTCTATAGTCTAGTCTATAGTCTAGTCTATAGTCTAGTCTATAGTCTAGTCTATAGTCTAGTCTATAGTCTAGTCTATAGTCTAGTCTATAGTCTAGTCTAGTCTATAGTCTAGTCTATATCTAGTCTAGTCTAGTCTATAGTCTAGTCTATAGTCTAGTCTATAGTCTAGTCTATAGTCTAGTCTATAGTCTAGTCTATAGTCTAGTCTATAGTCTAGTCTATAGTCTAGTCTATAGTCTAGTCTATAGTCTAGTCTATAGTCTAGTCTATAGTCTAGTCTATAGTCTAGTCTATAGTCTAGTCTATAGTCTCTAGTCTCTATAGTCTAGTCTATAGTCTAGTCTATAGTCTAGTCTATCTAGTCTATAGTCTAGTCTATAGTCTAGTCTATAGTCTAGTCTATAGTCTAGTCTATAGTCTAGTCTATAGTCTAGTCTATAGTCTAGTCTATAGTCTAGTCTATAGTCTAGTCTATAGTCTAGTCTATAGTCTAGAGTCTAGTCTATAGTCTAGTCTATAGTCTAGTCTATAGTCTAGTCTATAGTCTAGTAGTCTATAGTCTAGTCTATAGTCTAGTCTATAGTCTAGTCTATAGTCTAGTCTATAGTCTAGTCTATAGTCTAGTCTATAGTCTAGTCTATAGTCTAGTCTATAGTCTAGTCTATAGTCTAGTCTATAGTCTAGTCTATATCTAGTCTATAGTCTAGTATAGTCTAGTCTATAGTCTAGTCTATATTCTAGTCTATAGTCTAGTCTATAGTCTAGTCTATAGTCTAGTCTATAGTCTAGTCTATAGTCTGGACTATAGTCTAGTCTATAGTCTAGTCTATAGTCTAGTCTATAGTCTAGTCTATAGTCTGGACTATAGTCTAGTCTATAGTCTGGACTATAGTCTAGTCTATAGTCTGGACTATAGTCTAGTCTATAGTCTGGACTATAGTCTAGTCTATAGTCTAGTCTATAGTGTGGACTATAGTCTAGTCTATAGTCTGGACTATATTCTAGTCTATAGTCTGGACTATAGTCTAGTCTATAGTCTAGTCTATAGTCTAGTCTATGGTCTGGACTATAGTCTAGTTTATAGTCTGGACTATAGTCTAGTCTATAGTCTGGACTATAATCTAGTCTACAGTCTAGTCTATAGTCCGACTCTAGACTATAGTCTAGTCTATAGTCTAGAGTCTCTAGTATATAGTTTAGTCTATAGTCTAGTCTATAATCTAGTCTATAGTCTAGTCTATAGTTTAGTCTATAGTCTAGTCTATAGTCTAGTCTATAGTTTAGTCTATAGTCTAGTCTATAGTCTAGTCTATAGTTTAGTCTATAGTCTAGTCTATAGTCTAGTCTATAGTCTAGTCTATAGTCTAGTCTATAGTCTAGTCTATAGTCTAGTCTATAGTCTAGTCTATAGTCTAGTCTATAGTCTAGTCTATAGTCTAGTCTATAGTCTAGTCTATAGTCTAGTCTATACTCTAGTCTATAGTCTAGTCTATAGTCTAGTCAATAGTCTAGCCTATAGTCTAGTCTATACTCTAGTCTATAGTCTAGTCTATAGTCTAGTCTATAGTCTAGTCTATAATCTAGTCTATAGTCTAGCCTATAGTTTAGTCTATAGTCTAGTCTATAGTCTAGTCTATAATCTAGCCTATAGTCTAGTCTATAATCTAGCCTATAGTCTAGTCTATAATCTAGCCTATAGTCTAGTCTATAGTCTAGTCTAGTCTATAGTCTAGACTATAGTTTAGTCTATAGTCTAGTCTATAGTCTAGATTATAGTTTAGTCTATAGTATAGTCTATAGTCTAGTCTATAGTCTAGTCTATAGTCTAGTCTATAGTCTAGTCTATAGTCTAGTCTATAGTCTAGCCTATAGTCTAGTCTATAGTCTAGTCTAGTCTATAGTCTAGTCTATAGTCTAGTCTATAGTTTAGTCTATAGTCTAGTCTATAGTCTAGTCTATAGTTTAGTCTATAGTCTAGTCTATAGTTTAGTCTATAGTCTAGTCTATAGTCTAGTCTATAGTCTAGTCTATAGTCTAGCCTATAATCTAGCCTATAGTCTAGTCTATAATCTAGCCTATAATCTAGTCTATAATCTAGCCTATAGTCTAGTCTATAATCTAGCCTATAGTCTAGTTTATAGTCTAGCCTATAGTCTAGTCTATAATCTAGCCTATAGTCTAGTCTATAGTCTAGCCTATAGTCTAGTCTATAGTCTAGCCTATAGTCTAGTCTATAGTCTAGTCTATAGTCTAGTCTATAGTCTAGTCTATAGTCTAGTCTAGTCTATAGTCTAGTCCATAGTCTACTTTTCGAGAAAAAAGGAAACGGTTGTTCTGAAGGAACTCTCATGAGAATCCAAGAGTCAATTTAGATAAAACTCTGGAACCAGCTTATCATACATAATTCCAAATTATTCAAAATAAGTGGAACCAATTTAGCAAGTCCTTTTAATAACTGACTTTAAAGGTAGTGACCAAAGGTCTCCCCCCAACAGAAATATGTATTCAAGCGGGAGAAAAACGAAACGACGTCAACATGTAGGCGTCTATATAAAGAACACATACATTCCTATATAACGTACGCTTAAGTACCTGCACAACGATGAAAATTTGCTGCAGATACCCACACAAACACTATCACTCGCACTCTGCGAAAGAAAAAAAAAATGAAGAGAGAAAATAGAAGCGGCCTCAAAAACCCTCCTCCACCTCCAATATTTGCTAGCTGACATATGCCTGTTCTCCTTAGTCGTTTTTTCCCTATTCATACGTTGAATTTGTTGTTTTAGTGTGGACCGTAGGAGAGAAGGTGGCGAAGGCATAACAGAACTGAGGGAGTGTTATACTGATGTTGTAGTTGTTCTTGTAGATACCTACACAACAACAACGACGACGACGTCGAATACAACAAATATTCTACAGCCAGAGTACAGTGTTGATTGTTATGTGAGTTGTTCTGTCCCTAGATATTGTGGTGTGCTGCTGTTGCTGCCGTTGGTTTGCATTGTTGTTACTGTTATTTTGAAGAGGATGTTTGAAGTCAATGTGGCTGGCTGGCTGGCTGACTGTCTGTTATTGTTTTGCTGAGCTGTGCTGTGTTGTGCTCTTTAATGCCGCCTTACTCTCTCGTTTATTTTGTAACAGTTACTACAAAAAAATTAAATTAAAATGTAAAAATCATCGTTGCTGTTTTTGTTGTTGTTGTTATTATCGTGGACTGGGTGACTGGCTCGCTTGATAGACAACTGTCATGGCTAAACAGAGTTTTAGTTTGTTGCTTAACTATGTCCGTCCAATCGTTAGCAACAATGTGCAATCTGAAAAGCTTTTTTGGGGGACTTTAGAAAATATTTCAAATCAAAAAATCGTGTCTGAGGGTAAACTCTATTTTAAAGGACTTCTGCTAATGCAGAGCAGAGACAGAGAGTGTTTTCTTCTCTTCGCCATGAAAACTTCTTAGTACGACTGCTGAATGTCTCGCAATCCTATTTAAGGAGGTCTGGCATTCCAGGACGAATCGTATGCTTTTTTCTTCAGGGGAGCTCTCAAATTCACTCATAGATCAGTTCTAGTTCAGTTCTAGTTCAGTACCAGTTCTGTTCTAGTTCAGTTCTAGTTCAGTTCTAGTTCAGTTCTAGTTCAGTTCTAGTTCAGTTCTAGTTCATTTCTAGTTCAGTTCTAGTTCAGTTCTAGTTCAGTTCTAATTCAGTTCTAGTTCAGTTCTAGTTCAGTTCTAGTTCAGTTCTAGTTCAGTTCTAGTTCAGTTCTAGTTCTGTTCTAGTTCTGTTCTAGTTCAGTTCTAGTTCAGTTCTAGTTCAGTTCTAGTTCAGTTCTAGTTCAGTTCTAGTTCAGTTCTAGTTCAGTTCTAGTTCAGTTCTAGTTCTAGTTCAGTTCTAGTTCAGTTCTAGTTCAGTTCTAGTTCAGTTCTAGTTCTAGTTCAGTTCTAGTTCAGTTCTAGTTCAGTTCTAGTTCAGTTCTAGTTCAGTTCTAGTTCAGTTCTAGTTCAGTTCTAGTTCAGTTCTAGTTCAGTTCTAGTTCAGTTCTAGTTCAGTTCTAGTTCAGTTCTAGTTCAGTTCTAGTTCAGTTCTAGTTCAGTTCTAGTTCAGTTCTAGTTCAGTTCTAGTTCAGTTCTAGTTCAGTTCTAGTTCAATTCTAGTTCAGTTCTAGTTCAGTTCTAGTTCAGTTCTAGTTCAGTTCTAGTTCAGTTCTAGTTCAGTTCTAGTTCAGTTCTAGTTCAGTTCTAGTTCAGTTCTAGTTCAGTTCTAGTTCAGTTCTAGTTCAGTTCTAGTTCAGTTCTAGTTCAGTTCTAGTTCAGTTCTAGTTCAGTTCTAGTTCAGTTCTAATTTCAGTTCTAGCTCAGTTCTAGTTCAGTTCTAGATCATTTCCAGTTCAGTTCAAGGTCAGATCTGGGTTAGGTCTAGTTCAGTTCTATTCACACCATTCACTAGATCACAGAACTCATCAATGTTGTTCGCTCATGATATCACTTCAACAACTTGTGGAGTTGTCTCTATGCTCTGCGAACGGTCATTGTGGACTTCTAATTGTTACATTTTAAGGACCTTTTCCTAACATCCTCGTATTTAACTTGTTATGGAGGTTTTATTATTGTTTTGTTACACTGTTGCTTGTTGTTTTTGTTGAAACGAAATGAAGAAAAAACAAATAAACACAGATCCTACAACAACTACAGGCTACAGCACCATCAACCTAAACATCAAAACTGAAACGAAGAAACAAACGACCGGTAAAAGAATTTCGCTATAAAAATAATGACAACAACAAAAAGCAAAACAAACTATTGACGTCGTACATAGTGAGTGAGTGTATTTTAGCGATTTGACAACGCGGTTACTGCTACTGCAGTTTATGCTGTTGCTGCCGCCGCCTGCACCCTCCCCCTTCTATGACGCTGGTGGTGCCTGGTGTTTGCTGCTGCTGCTGCTCTCTCTCGGAAAACTGGCAACCAAAGCCTGCTGTAGCTGTTGTTGTTGCTATTATTATTATTGCGGCTCTTAACGTTGGAGATGGTGCTTCTTCACCATCAATTGTTTCTTTCGTGTGTAGTTGAGTGAGTGAGTGTGTGTGGCTGTTTGTGCGCGCGATTTTTTGTTGTTTTTATATTTTCAAATTTTTTCTTTGACTCGTCGTTGTCGTTGCTAACATGGTCGTCGTGGTTGTTGTTGTTGTTGAGGCTCTGACTGTTGCTGCAGCTACTGCTCTTGGGGTTTATAATGTTGTTGTTGCTGTTTGCTGCTGCCGTTATTATTGTTGTTGTTTTCGTCGTCGTCGTTGTTGTTGGCTGTTGTGTGTACATTTGCAAAAGCGGTGGTTGTTGGTTAGTTCGCATATCTGTAATCGTCTCATTCAAGTGTCCAACTTTTGTCGGAGCGGTCGTCGCATCATCAACATCACAGCACAGCAATATATAGAAACGCATACACGGGTATACAAAACAAAAACAACAAAATAAAAAAAATAAAACAGCAAAAAAAGCACTTTTGTATGTGCGGACTTAACTAAACAACACTATTATCATCATCTTAACCACCGCCAGCAGCAGTGTGTCTCCTCTTTTCCTGGATTTTTCTTTCACATTTGTCTGCATTTAATCAATGCTGCTTGCAGCTTTAATTAATTAAAAAGAAAACGCAATTCCCGGGTTCCAGACCTATTAAATGTCATTTGTTATGGGTTCTGAAGAATTAAGTGGCACTTCCTTAAGCGGTATTAGCAGCAGCGGCTCACTCGCCCCACATCATACCAACAACACCATGAAATCGACTAAAACTCAACGCGGCGGTATCAGTGAATCCTCTACAACATCCGATAATACCACCGATTTTATTGAAATTGTTAAAAAACATCAAATCGTCTATAATACTCATCATCCGGACTATAAAAATGTCGAAGTCAAATTAAAAGTTTGGTCGCAAATCGCTGAAGAAATTGGTTTATCTGTGGGTAAGTACAACAACAACAACAGCATGCACAGTTCGTATGTATAGTATATACAGTGTCTCTCATAAGTATTCGAATTTGTGTAAACTATGAAAAGAAACCAAATTTAATAATATATTTTGTGTGGAAAATAAATAAATTAATTTGTTATATTGTCTAGATAGTCCTTAGTTTTGATATCACGCCCCTTAAAAATTGGAAACTTTACATTTACTTAAATTAGTTGTGCTTTTTTAAAAAAAGTCCATGAAACTACTTCACAAAAGTATGCGAATTTTTCCTGTATTTCATATTTGATCATATTATACGATACACAAATTTTAGAATCGCATGGTTTTATGCTTAATATGTTACTATCAACCGCATGGATATATTTTTGACCCATTTGGTCCACAATTTTGGGGGATTTGTACCCTCTTTTCATGTAATATCATTAAAATGGCGATTTTTGGCTATATTTGTAATGTTTTCACCCTTTTTCCAGAAATAAAACCAAAATTTAATATTGGAATTTAATAGAACCCATAGGGTATCTAAAAATAATATTTTTTGTTATAAGGATCTGTACTTAAACGTTCCAAGATGTGTTTTTGGTATCGTTTTTCAGTTTCTAATTGAATTATCTGGATCATAAGTCCCTTTTCGTACCTCTAGGGACGATATTTTTCGACAAAGTTGTCTAGTGTATATTCATGTACATATTGGCACTAATGTATTTTAAATTTTCAATATATTATAGCGGTATACAACCCCAAAACATGCCTTAACAAAACGTCATCCTATATAGTAGATTTCAGTTTTTACTATTCGTAACTTTCACGCTTATGTTGCCCGTTACAATAACACTGTAAGTCCTAAATTTTGGTTTTAATTTGATCATAGTAAATAATATTTAAACACATATCAACATTTTTGATGTAATCATAATGATATCGTGCTATGCAGCATGGAGGCCATTGGTATATAAAAATAATGATTTTACTATTTTGAATGGTGTTTCTTCGAGGCATGTTTTGGAGTTGTACACTTCCACAACACATTGAAAACTTAAAATGTATAAAAGCTGATATCTAAAAGAATATATACCAGAAAACTTTCCCCGAAAATAGTTTATCCTAGTATTATAAAAATGGACTAAGTTCCAATATATTGAATTAGCGAAAGAAGAATGATCCGAATAATTTATCTTGGAACGTTTAAATACAGATTCTTGTAACAAAAGATATTATTTTTAGATACCCCAAAGGGTCTTTTAAGTCCCAATATCAAATTTTTGTTTTATCTCTGGAAAAAAGGAGAAAAATTTACAATTATGGCCAAAAATCGCCATTTTAATGATAATACATGAAAAGAGGGTACAAATTCCGCAAAATTGTGGACCAAATGGGCCAAAAATATATCCTTTCCGTGGATAGTAACCCCTTAAAACAATATTACGCATAAAAACCATTCGATTCTAAAATTTGTGTTGCGTATAATATGATCAAATATGAAATACAGGAAAAATTCGTATACTTTTGTGAGGCAATTTCATGGACTTTTTTTAAAAAAGCACAATTAATTTAAATCAATGCAAATTTTTCAAGTTTTAAAAAGCGTGATATCAAACATAAGGACTATCTATACAATATAACAAATTAATTTATTTATTTTGCACACAAAATATATTATTAAATTTGGTTTCTTTTTATAGTTTACCCAAATTCGAATAATTATGAGAGACACTGTATGTACATATAGTGCGTTTTACTTTATAAAAGGCATTGCAACTCCACCACCACCTCTCACTAGGAAAAAAAACAACAAACTTTAATCAAAATCACAAACTTTAGTCTTTTTTTCTTGAAAAATTTTCATCTCGCCATAACTAGAAGAAAATCTTGTAACAAAAATATTATAGCAGAAAAGGAAAAAATTGAAAAAAATCGTTAAAATACTACAAGAAAAAAATGGCAAAAGAGGAACAACAAAAAAAACAAAACAAAATAGTGCGAAAACAAGAAGAAAAAACAGAGAGTAATTTTGTAGATACACAGCAGTTGTGTGGTCAATGTAGAGCTTTTTCTCGGCATAATTTTTTTATAAACTTGCGAATAAAATTTATAGGAACCTTAGACTATAGACTGTATTAAAGACTAGACTATACTATAGAATAGACTATAGACTAAACTAGACTGTAGGCTAGACTGCAGATTGTACTATATACTAGACCATAGAATAGACTATAGACTATTCTATAGAAAAGACTACAGACTGGACTATAAACTAAAGACTAGACTATAGACTAAACTATAGACTAGACTATAGACTAGACTATAGACTAAACTATAGACTAGACTATAGACTAGACTATAGATTAGACTATAGACTAGACTACAGAACAGACTATAGACTAGACTATAGACTAGACTATAGACTAGACTATAGACTAGACTATAGACTAGACTATAGACTAGACTATAGACTAGACTATAGACTAGACTATAGACTAGACTATAGACTAGACTATAGACTAGACTATAGACTAGACTTTGACTAGACTTTGACTAGACTATAGACTAGACTAAAGACTAGACTATAGACTAGACTAAAGACTAGACTATAGACTAGACTATAGACTAGACTATAGACTAGACTATAGACTAGACTATAGACTAGACTATAGACTAGACTATAGACTAGACTATAGACTAGACTATAGACTAGACTATAGACTAGACTATAGACTAGACTATAGACTAGACTATAGACTAGACTATAGACTAGACTATAGACTAGACTATAGACTATAGACTAGACTATAGACTAGACTATAGACTAGACTATAGACTAGACTATAGACTAGACTATAGACTAGACTATAGACTAGACTATAGACTAGACTATAGACTAGACTATAGACTAGACTATAGATCGACTATAGACTAGACTATAGACTAGACTATAGACTAGACTATAGACTAGACTATAGACTAGACTATAGACTAAGACTATAGACTAGACTATAGACTAGACTATAGACTAGGACTATAGACTAGACTATAGACTAGGACTATAGACTAGACTATAGACTAGACTATAGACTAGGACTATCGACTAGACTATAGACTAGACTATAGACTAGACTATAGACTAGACTATAGACTAGACTATAGACTAGACTATAGACTAGACTATAGACTAGACTATAGACTAGACTATAGACTAGATATAGGACTAGACTATAGACTAGACTATAGACTAGACTATAGACTAGACTATAGACTAGACTATAGACTAGACTATAGACTAGACTATAGACAGACTATAGACTAGACTAGATAGACTATAGACTAGACTTGACTAGACTTTGACTAGACTATAGACTAGACTAAAGACTAGGACTATAGACTAGACTAAATGACTAGACTATAGACTAGACTATAGACTAGACTATAGACTAGACTATAGACTACACTATAGACTAGACTATAGACTAGACCATAGAATAGACTATAGACTATTCTATAGAAAAGACTATAGACTATTCTATAGAAAAGACTATAGACTGGACTATAAACTAAAGACTAGACTATAGACTAGACTATAGATTAGACTATAGACTAGACTACAGACTAGACTATGGACCAGACTATAGACTAGTCTATAGACTAGACTATAGACTAGACTATAGACTAGACTATAGACTAGACTATAGACTAGTCTATAGACTAGACTATAGACTAGACTATATACTAGACTATAGACTAAACTATAGACTAGACTATAGACTAGACTATAGACTAGACTATAGACTAGACTATAGACTAGACTATAGACTAGACTATAGACTAGACTATAGACTAGACTATAGACTAGACTATAGACTAGACTAAAGACTAGACTATAGACTAGACTAAAGACTAGACTATAGACTAGACTATAGACTAGACTATAGACTAGACTATAGGCTAGACTATAGACTACACTATAGACTAGACTATAGACTAGACTATAGGCTCGACTAAACTATTGACTATAAGCTAGACTAAATACTACACTATAGACTAGACTATAGACTTGACTTTGAACTAGACTATAGACTAAACTATAGACTTGACTATAGACTGTGATATATATTTGACTATAGACTAGACTATCGACTTGGCTATAGATTTGACTATAGAGTAAACTATGGACTAGTGGCCTATTGACTATTATGTATTCTATTTATAAGTTAGAAAAAGTACTAAAGTACTGAATTTTCTATGCCTGCTATGCCGTATATTATTAACTGCTGGCATTTTTTTGATATATATTTTTTTTATCACATTCGAGTTATTTATGACTTTTCTGCTCGATAAAAATTATCATATATGCGCTCATTTTCTGATCATAAAAGATATTTCTTTCGGAAGAAAATTTTATCCTATCCGTTATTAAAAGAGTCTTTTATGAGCCTCTCTTTAAATCAGTTCTGACTCAATAATAAGTCGAATTACTGGTCGTTTTAGAGTAAATTTCTAAATATATTTTAGTTTTGAGTATTTTCTGCGACATTTTAATGTCTGTTACAGACATGCAAAGCCAAATACTTATACATTTAATATTATAAAAGAAAATTATATTAAGTAATTTTAGGCTGTACAAAACTCTTCAAAAAGAGTCTTTTACGAGCCGCTTTTTTAAACAGTTTCGTTTTATTTTGAACCATATTAACAAATAACTAAATATATCCCTTTATCTGATTAGAAAGGATATATTAGCGTAAAATATGTTTTATTTCTAAGAAAAAAACGAATACTGACAGATTTCGGATTTTCCTTCACATAAGACCTAAAAAATGTTCCCTAAAGTGGACCATCATCCTACACAAATCTCAATAATAACACATTTAAATGCAGTCCAGTGCTTTTTTCTAATGTTATTAAGTTAGCAGCACTTTTATTAAAAAGAGAAAACTTTATTTTCTCTTGCTCAGATATGTTTACGCTCCAAAGAAGCCGATAAAAACAAAGCAAAAGAAATATAAAGTAGAAAAAAACAAAACACCTCTATTTGTCAATAATTCCTCCTACTCCTCGCTCGGTATTCTATAAGAAAATGTTTGCATTTTAATGATTTGTTTACAAATCATTTAAAAAATTCAATTAAATACTAGCGTCTATTAGTCATTCTGTTTGAAACATTTGAATTTAACGTTTTGCCGTTAAAAAAGTTACAGTTTAAAATAAAATTACTGCAGTGCTTCTAGGCAACGATCTAAGTTACTTTTTTAGATAGAAAGATGTTATTTTGGTTTTTAATTTTTTAAAAATTAGAAAGTTTAATACCTCTATATTGTTTATTTATTTAGTAGAAAATTGCTTTTTAAAAACACGCCATTTGGTCACATAAATGTTAAATAAAAGAAAAGAGAAAAAAATTTAAACAGTCCCTAAAATGTCAAATAGCCGAATAAATAAGAATTGACAAAACAAAGATGCAATTGATAATTTTTTTATAAATAAAAATATGATTATTCTTAATAAGAATTTCCTTTAAATTATGAAAATAAAATGTTGCATTTGTAAAAGTTCTTTCGAACAGAAGCATGTGAAATTTATCAAATGTCCCGAAAATAAAATAAAATTATGGAGCAATGCTTGCGGTGTACATCTCAAGAAACATTCGAAAATTTGTATGTTTCATTTTAAAAAGTCAAACTTTATTGAACTGCACGATAAGGGTAAACGAGCACGTTTAATGCCGAATGCTGTTCCCAGTTTTGAACCAAATAGGGAAGTAAAGGATTCGAGCGGTAAGCAGAAGATAATTTAATGTCGATCGAAAAGAACTTGTTCAAAATGTCAGTAAAGTGTAATGCAATTCAAAAAAGTAACGGTTTTTTATATTTAATTACATTTGCTTAGAAAATCCTGTTTTTTTTTTTTAATTAAATATTTCTATTTAAAATTGCATTTAATTTTGTTTTTCAGATGCCTCTAAAAGAAAATGGAAAAATTTACGTGACAGTTATACAAAATATTTGCGTTCATTTCGCGTTGGTACCAAAACATCCAAGAAGTATCAATTTGGGCTCATGCCGAGCAGAGGACGCGGAAAACCCTATCAAGGACCAGGAAGGAAAGGCAAGAAGAGAAGGCAAGAGAGGGAGAGGCGAGCGAGCGAGAGCGAGCGAGCGAGCGAGCGAGCGAGCGAGCGAGCGAGCGACGAGCGAGCGAGCGAGCGACGAGCGAGCGAGAGAGGGAGGAGCGAGCGAGCGAGCGAGCGAGCGAGCGAGCGAGCGAGCGAGCGAGCGAGCGGCGAGCGAGCGGAGCGAGCGAGCGAGCGAGCGAGCGAGCTAGCGAGCGAGCGAGCGAGCGAGCGAGCGAGCGAGCGAGCGAGCGAGAGAGCGAGCGAGCGAGCGAGCGAGAGAGCGAGCGAGCGAGCGAGCGAGGAGCGAGCGAGCGAGCGAGCGAGCGAGCGAGCGAGGAGCGAGCGAGAGAGCGAGAGAGCGAGCGAGCGAGCGAGCGAGGAGCGAGCGAGCGAGCGAGCGAGCGAGCGAGCGAGAGAGCGAGCCAGCGAGCAGCAGCCAGCCAGCGAGCAGCGAGCGAGCGAGCGAGCGAGCGAGCGAGGAGCGAGAGCGAGCGAGCGAGCGAGCGAGCGAGCGAGCGAGCGAGCGAGCGAGCGAGCGAGCGAGCGAGCGAGCGAGAGAGCGAGCGAGCGAGCGAGCGAGGACGAGCGAGCGAGCGAGCGAGAGAGCGAGCGAGCGAGCGAGAGAGCGAGCGAGCGAGCGAGCAGCAGCGAGCGAGCGAGCGAGCGAGCGAGCGAGCGAGCGAGCGAGCGAGCGAGCGAGCGAGCGAGCGGAGCGAGCGAGCGAGCGAGCAAGAGAGGGAGCGAGCGAGCGAGCGAGCGAGCGAGCGAGCGAGCGAGCAGCGAGCGAGCGAGCGAGCGAGCGAGCAGAGCGAGAGCGAGCGATGAGAGCAGAGCGAGCGATGCTGAGCGAGCGAGCGAGCGAGCGAGCGAGCGAGCGAGCGAGCGAGCGAGCGAGGAGCGAGCGAGCGAGCGAGCGAGCGAGCGAGCGAGCGAGCGAGCGAGCGAGCGAGCGAGCGAGCGAGCGAGCGAGCGAGCGAGCGAGCGACGAGCGAGCGAGCTAGCGAGCCAGCCAGCGAGCCGCAGCGAGGAGCGAGCGAGCGAGCGAAGCGAGCGAGCGAGCGAGCGAGCGAGCGAGCGAGCGAGCGAGCGAGCGAGCGAGCGAGCGAGCGAGAGAGGGCGAGCGAGCGAGGCGAGCGAGCGAGCAGCGAGCGAGCGAGCGAGCGAGCGAGCGAGCTGAGCGAGCGAGAGCGAGCGAGAGCAGCGAGCGAGCGAGCGAGCGAGCGAGACGAGCGAGCGAGCGAGCGAGCGAGCGAGCGAGCGAGCTAGCGAGCGAGCGAGCGAGCAGCGAGCGAGCGAGCGATCGAGCGAGCGAGCGAGCGAGCGAGCGAGGCGAGCGAGCTGAGCGAGCGAGCGAGCTAGCGAGCGAGCGAGCGAGCGAGCGATGCGAGCGAGGAGCTAGCGAGCGAGCAGCGAG